CTCAAAGTGTTTGTCTTCTGTGTAATTGTGCCATTCTTGCGTGTCGTGTTGAGAGAGGCCCTGAAGATGTCTCAATAAAGATCGAAACGTTGGCACGATAAAGAAAATGTTTTTCTGAAACCTACATCACACCAGACCGCATCTCACGATTTCTGAATAATAATCAATAAAACCTTCATTTCAATACTAGCTTTTGTATTTTAAATAACTAATTAGCACTAATTAGCACTCTAGGTGGAAAGCATATTTGGGTCAAAAATAATCGTAGTAAATCTTACTACATGGATATTTATGCTCGTTTGTTAGGTATGTATGTTGTCGGTTACTATGATAATAAAATTAAAGTCATTCATTGAACACTACTGTTAGTCGAAACAAACAAACTTAAATCACTGAGAGACAATGCAAGAAAACAACCCCACGAAAAACCCAAACTCAAAAATGGGTTGTTTTTTGGGCGGAGTTTAGCTAGATTTTTAAAGTTTTGTGTTAAGTCTTGGAGAAACGAAAGACAATATTGATGTATCATGAGTTTTTATTACAACCGTAATGGCGTATACTTAAGACATTAGTAAAAAAGTAAACTTCCATTTGTTTCTCCTGTAAAATTATCTTTTGTCGAGTTGTGCCAATTTTCTTATGGTTTGCGATATTGTTGTCCTGTATGGAATAAACTATATAATGTTTATGTTACCATACATTGTATTTTTCTTATATGAAAAAAACTTGAAATATGTGAACATAGGTTCTTACATAACATTGGCAATAGGCACGCGCGATACAAAAAGTGCCTGATTGGTATGCAGATAGAAGAAAATGCTTGCGATTTTCTTCTATTGGTAATTAACTCCATAATTGTACATTTGACGATAGGTAAAAGAGCCGAAGGTCGACTCGCCCGCTGGCTAATTCATTTGGACCCTACGACAAGGCTAGTATCAACGTAATACATTGAATTATCGTCAACAGGTTGTCAAATAATCCAATTCTAGAAAGCCATAATTTCACTCGGATGTCGTAGGAGGAAGATGTAAAAGTTGAAGAGGGGTAAACAAAAATGCTACGGAAATAAAATTTGGTCCCAAGCCAAACCTGAGTCGTGAGACTTTCCCATTTAACGAGTCAACCATCGCGCCGTTGTGGAATATTTCTTCACAGGGATTTGCGCACGTGCTCGCAAGAATCCGCGATATCTGTTTTTTATGGTTTATTCTAAGGTGTATTTTTGTACTACTGCTGAAATAGAAGTTTTGAATTTAGAAGACCACGTAGTACCGCGGATTGAAATAAAGATCATCAATCTAATTGTTGAAATTAATCCATTGTTCTTCGTTTTGTATATTACAAAGATAAGATTCGATGTACTAAATCATGTCAAGATCGATCTGTTTGTTCTTTATAATTAGACAATAAATATGCTTCAATGATCGATTAAACAACACCGAGGCAAGGATATTGAATAACCTAATTGGATTTACTCCTCTTGTTTTGAAAATGGAATTACGCCCAATTTCCGCCGTGGATGAAGGCTCAGAGCATAATAATAGACACATATAATTATGAGAAACGGATGTTATGGAGACTTTGCAATTCTAAGGTTTTCTATAGTGGATGGCTGTACTTTAGGGATTTTTCAGCCAGAAAGAACTTGATGTTTTGTTAGTTATTTACGCACTACGTTTCGGAACGTTTGATCTTTTGTCAAAGGTTGTGGTATAGTTTGTAGACAAAACTTGTCAAAACAAAAGTGAAAAAAAATGAAAAACCAGCTTCCTCCAGCATAACATTCCATAAACAGGTACATCGAGAATGAGCGGTCCATTTCCATGTTCTTCTTTCAAAACCAAGACGAAAACGTTCATTTTTTTCAATAAATTCACTAATTTCGTGGTCCGCTTGACCAATTAATTCATTACAATTAAGGTTTTTAGTTGAGATGAAAAAAAGTTAATGGCACGAGAGTGATTCGAACCCACGACCTTCGGCTAGATATGCCGCTGCTCTACCACCTGAGCTATCGTCACCTCGATCCACTCGGAAGGAGGGAAAAAGGTGGGGTTGAGATGGGGAGTTGACGCCTTAACCAGCGAAACTAGGGGGTATGGTTCTATACATACTTTTAGAGATTAATTTTACTAAATACGTTTGCTATTTTACAAACTGTGATACACCCCTGTGAAGTACCTTAAACGAATAGAGCGACTACTGTTGAACAGCGAGTGTGTAGCAAAAATTTTTATATGGCAAAAGCTTTTTGCAAGCTTTTTAGAACCATATGTATTTTTTCGAAGTAACCTCAAATGAATCCTAAACGGCCATACTACAAAAATGGAACCGTGAAAAGCATAGATTCAGATAATATTAGATAACAGTGGTTTTTTAACCACTGGTTTACCAAAAGCTTTTGATCTTATAGAAATGTAGTAGTTGCTACACACTGTCTCGAGAAAAGTTCAGTAGGTCTAGAAGTAAAAAAATATGCAGTAGGCAACGAACGTTTGTTAAAAAGTAATGCTAGGTGCTCTCAAAAATAAAAATATATATATATTTTTTAATCTAACGGCTTGGTTGAAATGAAAAGCTAGTTTAAGGAGCGGGATTCGAACCAACACCTTCGGCTCGATTCGATCCCAGCTCGTGACACTAGGCTTTTCAACTCAACCTACTTAACGCAGACCTTACATAAAAATATATTAATTTGAAAAATTAGTACGGTTAAGTATGACTACTAATAACATATATCAATTAATGTTATGTATAGTTTAATTTTCGTTGAATCTAACAAAATATTGAATTGTGAAATTTCCTCTTAAGGCCTTGTGAGGCGGATTAGTTTGGACGTTTTCGATCCTTTTTGTATTGCAGAGTGTTTTGGTTTGTCTTCATCAGTGTTGGGTCTGTAGAATTTTAAGTAAGGCTGATAGACCAAAATGATCTTACACGGCCATACTACAATAATGGAATCTTTCATACTTCCACGGGACTTGGGAATAAGACTTTAATAAAAAAAAATGGGCTTATTCAATGAACTGAGACAATTGTTACCAAGCGAGACCAGGCGAATACCATAAATTTTGGACGATCGAAAAAAAGGAGGAAAAGAGAAGCTTTACTCACTTTTACTTCTAAGTACACGTTCATCTAACATTATTAGGCATGTAATAGTCCTTCAAAACGAAACTTGTTTCATATTAAAAAAAGGCCTAAATTTTGAATTTAGAAAACACTAAGGTAGTTCGATGAGTTAGAGTAGTAGATGTGGACTGGATGTATCACTTGGTAGAAAGAACCTCTCAGTTTGGGACGTTTTCAATTTTTTTAGCTAGTGTGGCAGGTTTGAAGGAGTATTTCTCATAAATAACAAAAAAAGCAAAACAGAAGCTTTACTCACTTTTACTTTTAGTACACGTTCATCTAACACTATTAGGTATGTAATAGTCCTTCAAAAGGAAACTTGTTTCATATTAAAAAAAGGCCACAATTTTTTGATTTAGAAAATACTAAGGTTTGATGAGTTACCGCAGATGTGGACTGATGTATCACTTGGTAGAATGAACCTCCCTGATTGGGACTTTTCAATTTTTTTTTGCTGGTGTGGCACGTTTGAAGGAGTGTTTCTTATAAATACAATAACTTGTTTCATTTAAAAAAAGGCCACAATTTTGAATTTAAAAAATACTAAGGTAATTTGATGAGTTACAGTAGATGTGGATTGGATGTATCACTTGGTAGAATGAAACTCCCAGATTGGAACGTTTTCAATTTTTTTTTTAAAGCTAATGTGACAGGTTTGAAGGAGTGTTTCTCATAAATACAATAACTTGTTTCATTTAAAAAAGGCCACAATTTTGAATTTAGAAAATACTAAGGTAATTTGATGAGTTACAGTAGATGTGGACTGATGTATCACTTGGTAGAATGAACCTCCCTGATTGGGACGTTTTCAATTTTTTAGCTAGTGTGGTAGGTTTTGGTAAATTGAGTTGAAATTAGAGTATGAAATTTTCATAATTTATTAGAAGTATTGTTAGTTTCTTTTCGATTTATTTTCATTCTTATTAGATTTATTTAAAAAAAATAAATTATCGAAATTTTAAAATAAATGACTCATCATGGTCAGGAAAATTTTGTTTCAAGTTGATCTTATCAAAATATCATAGAGAAAGTTGTAGGAAAAAAATCAGCTGTTAGATCAATTTATTACTAGTACGAAAATTTCATTTGTTACAATATTTTTTCTATTCGTTAAAACTTTCACGTCAGCTAGGAGTTTCAACATCGGCATCTTCTAATAATCACTGCAGCTTCATGTCATCTTAGTGTCAAACGTCTACCTCCGATGGATGCTCATGTTAACCACCACATGTTCTAGTCGGTTTATCCGTTTCAAATTCAAAATCAAAACTTACTTTATTCGAGTCTAAATTCAAAGAGACAGTTCGCACATCACGATGACCAGCAGTGGGTGAGTGTTGATCCTTTTTTTACTACTTTTTCCCGTTTTGAAATAATGTTTACGACTATGTTCCGGCTCTCGTGTTCTTCTCGCAGCATCCATTCGTCCGTATCAAATTCCTCCGCTTTTCGCTATCTTAACATAAAATACATATTCGTCAACTGTCACGGTTAAGATTAAGAAATAACATATGTTGTTTATAATAACAAGTTAAAAGATGGGAAGTGAGCGAGATACGAGGTACTGGGTTCGAGGCTTTTCCAAAATTTCAATCAAGGGACCGACAACCTTTGTTCTCGACACTACAGGTTGTTTAACAAAAAAATCCTGCCTGTGTAACATCTTTTTACTTTAAGGGAGCCTTAAAGCCTGGTTTAATCCTTCATCTTCAAAAAGGAACCATCTCCCTGAGTATTTAGGTTGTTCAACATCACAAAAAAATAATCTTGCTCTAAGTCAAGCTGACACTGTTAAGGCGAACCTAGAAAAAAAAAGAAATATCGTATATCCGGCAGAGGGGAGGCGACGAGAAGCATGTGGCCACTTGAGCATAAAGGCGACCGGCGGCTGAAGTGTTTTGTACATCCTAAGCTACAAGAACAGGAAAAAACACCCGGGGTCGTCGAAATGTCGAAAACTGACGGTAACGCAGTAAAACAAACAGAAAATCACAGGCAAAGGTGGAGGTGAAATAACGAGCGAGATGTGCACCGTGACAAAGGAATCTTGCAATTAATAGCATTCGTGTGTTTGCTGTTGCTTTTGCTCTACTTCTTCGTTTAATTTTCAAACCGTTAACTAACTACACGTAACAACGTTAGAACAATTAAGCATTAAACAATCGTAAACAAAGGAAAATAATGTTTGATACGTGGTGGTTTTATATTTTGACACATGAAAACCACAACAAAACTGCTATGAAAATAGGCATAGCAACTTTATAGCAACATAATATTTGACGGCATCGTTGTCCATTTCGTTTAAAAAGTGAATTTAATATTTGATAATTTGAAAGTATTACCATCATTTCTATTAGCCCACATTGCTTAAGTACGTAATAATCATTTTAATCCTATACCTTTTATATATTAATTTTTTAAAAGTTTAATTTAACTAGTCTTATAAAAAATTTGAAAATTTATTGAAAAGTCCTTCGGTAGTTATTATACTTTGTAATCTCATCAATAATAAATATTAATTAGAGGGGTGTCGGTGGCCGCAACGGTTTAGGCGTTGACATGGCGCTCGTCATTGTAAGGTAAAGGTCCCGGGTTCGAATCCAGCGGCCCTGCATTCGAGCCCGACATATTTATAAATGGGCTTTTTTTCAAAAACGCCGGCTATAACCTCTGCTGTTGCGTTTGTTGTTTTAAAAGAAAAAAAAAAGTAAAAGCTGTGGCGATGATTTCATGCCCCATACCATCACCAAATGATAATCACCTGTTTATATATATTTTTAAAATTAGTTGTTTATTTTTATTTTTTATTAGGAGTCCCTTCAAGGGAGAATTCGTTGTCCCATCCTTATCATTTGTTAAATTTACTAGTATTCGTGGTTTGCTTATCCAATTAATATCTTTCAGCCGATTAACGTTTTTAGTTGAGATAAAAAAAGTCAGTGTCACGGGCGGGATTCGAACCGACGACCTTCGGCTAGATACGCCGCTGCTCTGTCACTTGAGCTATCGTGACAAAAACATTTATATTTTTGTATAGATTTTTATTTAGAGATCGTGAGATGCGGTCTGGTGTGATGTAGGTTCCTGAAAAACATTTTCTTTATCGTGCCAACGTTTCGATCTTTATTGAGATCATCTTCAGGGCCTGGGATTTACAAACATTGATTACATATTACAATTACATTTTGGATNTAAATTCACTTTTCCACATCCAAAATGTAATTGTAATATGTAATCAATGTTTGTAAATCCCAGGCCCTGAAGATGATCTCAATAAAGATCGAAACGTCGGCACGATAAAGAAAATGTTTTTCTGGAACCTACATCACACCAGACCGCATCTCACGATCTCTAAATAAATATCGATTAACGGTCACTAATCACCACACATTTTTGTATAGAACGGAAGAGTTTTTCAAATTTTCTTTTTCCTGGTATATTGATATATAATTGTATATTGATTATAAACTTTGAATAATTAGTAAGCTTTTTTATGATAGGGGTGAACATGGGCGGAGTATTTAACGTGTGGTCCTAACTTCAACTTAATTTATAACTTCGTGGTGATGCTTTTCTTTATTGCATAAAGTAATCAAAACTTTCTTGCAGTAATGAAGAAATAAATTTTTTTTTAGGGTTAGACTGTATTCTAACTAGTATATTTATTACTTGTATGATAAGTGTTTTATGAAAGTATGAAATAAAGGCCAGATATAATGGTAAACACTTCAAAAAAAAATCATGAAGTCTGTCGGGTGATGAACCTGTAGCTTTGAAATGGCCAAACTACTTCTATGAAATTGCCAAAAACGTTCGAGGACAGCGAGGACGGACGGTCGACATCAAACACAATTGTATAACTGTTCAGTTTCATTTTATGCGACATTGCATCTTCGAATTGAACGTTTCGACTGAAACGGGTGTTCACTGTTAGCTCTTCACGCTCTCTTAATATCGCCCTATCTAAACAATTGATTAGGCTTGACAAATGACTTTCACAGTGCTTGTCTAAGTTTTGGTTTAGGGAGAATTTCCTGTAGGAAACGGCCATTCTATGATGGCAGGCGGATCGTTGAATTAGTACCTTTTATGTAAAATAGTTTATTCAAACATTGAATTTATTCTCAGCGAAATGTACTGCAAATTACGTGGAAGTCAAAGGGAAAAAAATGGTCGAAATCAGAGTTGTCAAAAACTTCAGAAGGGTAAGGCGCTCTGCCTAGGTTTCAAACTTGAAAAATCGTTGATCATTAAAACATGAACATCAAGGTTATCAGGCTTATTATTAACATTATTGCATTCCTATTGGTCAAAGCACTTAGCAGCGTCATTAGTCATATCTTACATGACAAGATGAAAGTGCAAAACATGTACGTTCAACGATCCTAGGCGAGCTCCTTGTGCCACTTGAGTATATGTATAGTATTTCTTTTCGAAAATTTGCCATAGAGTTATGAAAAATGCGGATCTATCTAATTACGGCTGGATAATTTGGATATCCAGTTTTTAACGACAATATTATGTCTAATCTGTATATTGCCTAGAAGCTGTTAGTTAAATTTAAGGCTTTTTATCGGCTTCTGAAATCTGACCTTGTTTCCTCTTCGTCTTGAACAATATGTGCAGAAGCTTGTTCCTACTGTTCTGAGTATATAAATATTCTTCCGGAGTTTGGAGTGTCAAGTCAGCAGTGCTATTCTAGTCCTAACGCCTCCTGGGCTTAATAATTCTTCCGTTAGTTTCTGTGATGGTAATGAAAATTTTCGCATGCTTCTGTTTTGGAGTACAGCCCAATTGAACCGAGGACTCTTAATCCATTGCCTGATGGATCTACGTTTTTGGCGATTTGGTACGCCGGAAAATGGTTCAGGGCCGAAGGTGCTCTGACTGAACTTTCCTTAGCCAATTTAGAGGCATCTTCGTCTCCTCTCTGCCCTGTGTACCTGTTCCCATAAAAGCGTGATTTGATCGTTTTCCATTGTCCTGTTGGCAGTACTTTCTAGTCCTAACGCGCCCTACGTTCTGACATTAGTTTTTGTGATGGTCTTTTATTTAATGAATTTTTTCGCATTTGTCTGTCCTGGAATACATTCTACTTATTCTTAACCCAAAAATTCTGTCTTGAATTATTCAGCGTAATGACGCTGCCTTTCAATGGACTACTGAACCTGTGGGAGTGTACGGTTAAGATGCTACATGTAATATTTCGGATGTGTAATATACTCGCCATTTGTTAGCTGTTCTGTACCTATAACACCTGGTAAGTCCTAGTTCATCAAGAAATTTGGTTAGTAGGCTTTCATTCGTTGAACTTTTCCGATCTCAAATCACTTTCAGACCTTTTCCGTTAATGTTCTCTCCGCCCCACTCTCCACTAAGATCGCTCACCGGTCACTTAAGGAAATGCTCCTTTAAAGGTAATCATAAATACACTGTGTTCCCGAGTACTCATCGTCAACAAGACAAGAGGATCTTTAGCGTCCGGACCTGGCACATGACCTTATCGGGCGTTTTGATTCTCAAGATGAGAGCTGACGCACTTCTGCATACGACGGAATGGTGTTACCGCCGCAGCATTGGTGTAGAGGTTTCTCAGTCCCTAAGGGCCAGTACAACCACGCTCTCCGCTTGTCCACTCCGAATGGTCGGGCCCGCATTGTGCATCGAGTCGTATGCCGCACGCGAGGGGCTAACAGGCCGAAATATATCGGCCAGTCCCCCCCCCGCGTACTCCCTAGATAGAGAAAGCCACTCTATCTCTCTGAGTATAGAGGCTCCCCCAGCTTAGAAACTTCCGGGAATGCCCCGGCAGCGGTTTAGTTTAAAGTGGAATTGCTAACCACCCCCTAGCTGAGCACCGCCTACGGTAAAGTCGCTTATCGAGCTCAGCCTACACCTGTCACGCGCATTCGAGGGACGCCATAGGCTCGCCTAGGTGATCCGATCCTTCGCTTCACCAAGGGTACCACGCCGGTCATACGCACAACAATGCAAAGCATACTCCAGTCCGAGACACCGATTCACTACCCGCTTCCATTCGCTTACTTACGCATTCGAGGGACTATAGCATGATCATTGCGTCCTCAACGCTTACATGCTGTCGGGTTTTACGTTGGCCATACGCAAGCTTCACTGAGGTTACAGATAGAAGACGGCCTCTGTCTAAGTTCCCGCCAGGGGCGTCACCACGCACCACCACGAATCCATTCCCAGTGTAACTAGGGCTGAATTTGGAACTTTTCAGTTACCCCGTGGTACAGATGGCCATACACCCTCCCCCGTCTTTGCACTGGCCCTCGTGTGACTCTGCTAAGGCACCCGCCGCCCATG